GCGGAGAGGCGCTTCAGAAACGTGCCGCGGCTGGCTGATAAACACAAGCACTGACTAGAGTGGCCACGATCAGCTCCGGTGGCCGTGGAGCCGTAACGCGCCGCAGACGCGTGCAGTGAGGCGCAGATCAGCTCTAACTTCACTGAATCTGCTGTGTAGATGAACCATGCAAAACATACACGACAAACAGCGAATTTTTCATTGTTTCTCAAAACGTCATAGCATTTCCACACCAGCGACGACATGACTGCGGTGCCAAATCATTTATGTACTCATGCATCATGTATGTCGACACGCGTTGACGTCATTAAATTGCGATCGGTTCCTGAGATCGGCCAAGTTGGTGAATACCGATCGAGTCATAAAATATGATTATCGGCCGATACCGATTTCCGGCCGATTGATCGGAGCTTCCCTATATTAGGGATGCATTGCAAAATATACTCACATGTAACTTATACTCACATGTAACTTGTCCCTCAGCAATTGTGCAGCTTGAAGTTGAGGTGGGCTATCACTTTAAGTGACTAATCTTAGTATTTTCAATGGACAGACAATAATAGAAAAAATGTGTAATGTAATATCACAGAAACTTCAAGAAAACTCAGGCAAGCAAGTAACCGCCTACAACGCCCCAGCAAACACATAGCAATATCCTGTCATCCAACTACAACATCCAGTTTCTTCTGACTCCGTATTGTTCCAATTAAAGAAAAAAACAAAACAAAATAATTTGAGGTAATTATCCTAAATGAAAACAGACCACAGAGAAAATCTAGTCATAAAAACTAGAAGACACACCAAATAAACAAAATGCTGAACGGTCATTCATATCCCTCTCTGCACTTAATGCATTCTCACTCAGTAACAAACACAATGGCAGCAGAAGCTCTTTGTGAAATGAATCATTATTCGATTAGCGTCTCATGCAGCTGAATCATCTCTCCGCTAACTGAATGTAGTTGTGATTCAGTCTGATGCACTCAATCCATACGTTTGTACTCCATGTGGCTGAGGCTGGCGGAGGCAGAAATGTGGCTGAATAATGAACAGGCCATCTGTGAAGTCCCATGATTCATTCTGCACTTCTGATGTGTTTATTGCTCACAAGACTAATAATCGCGCCATCAACTTCACTGCCAGACAGCAGCTGCTTAGTATCAATTGTCGTTGCCTTTGCTAATTTTCACTCGAACCTTGTCAAAAGTGTGCACAATGAAACATTTTACAATCCTCCTCTGAAGGGGAATCTTTGATGAGGCGACATGGAAATGATGAGACTGGCTGTGATGTTTTAAATACATTCTGCCCTCGACATTTCAATGTAAACAACACAGCAAGTTAAACCATTTATATTTTCAGACGCCAAGGTTTGGCCTTCACTTTTCTGAGGGTGAAGTATGAAATGATCTCTTTAAACTGAAGGCTGAATAAGAGTGAATCATCTCAGCTTCATGGACCTCAGTGCACACAGAATATTTAATGTGCCGAATGAAAATGAGGCTTCCTAGTTTTCACATCCCACGTTTTTTCTTCCACTAGAAGTTAGGGACTGACCTATTGTTGAACTACTGTTCACATTTACATTAAATTAATCAAAAGTGACAGTAAAGACTTTAACAATGTTACAATTTTAATTTCAAATAAATGCTGTTCTTTTGAATTTTGTATTCATCAAAGAAATGTTCCAAGGTTTTATACTGTTTTCAACATAGATAATGATTTTAAAAAAAAAAGTTTGAGCACCAATTCAGAATATTAGAATGATTTCTGAAGGATCATGTGACACTGAAGACTAGAGTAATGGTTGCCGAAAATTCAGCTTTGCATCACAGGGATAAACTACAATTTAAAACATATTAAAATAGAATAAAATAGTTAAACACATAAGGGGCAAGGACATGTAGAACCTTGGGAATGATGGGAGTTCAGTAGATCTTCAGCTCTGTAAAGCTCTGGTCAACATCTTGTGTGGAAAGTTAAACTGGAAACCAAACATGTGGTGGGCTTCTTGCAGACTATAAACAAGCTCCACCCTAACGAAGACACCTGCCAATCGGTAGCAGCTGTACGGAATTTAAAGCTACATTCCACCTTTTTATAGACATCTTTAAAACATGTGAATGTGAATGACCTCATCCAGTGGGACTTTCCTAAAATATAAAAGTTCCTTATCTTATTAATGACAAACCCTCACCATAAATGTTTAACTTGAAATTACAACTATGAATGTTAGGCAAATTGTGTGTTTTACAGGGTTCCCACACTTTTTGACTAATGAATTTCATGAAAATGAATGAATAAATAAATACAGATAAGGGAATAAGTAACATCAACAATCAGAAACCATTCAAATTCAGACTGAATCACTAAGTAATCATTCAGATGGACCATTTTCAATTCCCTTATATTTTCAGGTTTTCCATGACTGTGAGAACCCTGCAATTTAGGAGCAAAGCCAGATCACTGTGCAGAAACAGCCATCACTAAACACTCAAGGACGATTTATTCTGGAGCGACAACTCAGGAGGGACAAAACACAGTGGGTTCCAAGGACGTGAACCCATATGTGTGAAAGAAACACAGCGCATGCCGTGATGTTAAAACGAGCTCTAAACAAGAGACTGCATTCGTTGCTTCTCATTAAAGGGAACAACCTTTAAAGATAAATGTGCCATAGTACATCAATCATACGACTAAAAAGAAATCAGGCTAACAAATCAAATCAGGCAAAAATGTATTAGTTTTAAGTTACGTTACATGTTAATGCCATTGAGATGCCTGTAAAAGTGTACACTTAATTGGCCGAACGAAACCCCAGCCAAACTTTCAGATTCCCGGTTTCAGATGTCTAGTTCCAATAATAACTTATTTATCAAACGGTGATGTTAAGGAAACCAGAGTAGTCGACGTGTTTCCTCATGTTGCACAGACACTGGGGGGTTTGAGTGAGGCTCAGGTGTGTGTGTGTGTGTGTGTATCTGATGACGCAGAGGACAGTGGTAGGTCTGGACATGAGCAATGTTCTGCCAGTTCTGGCTTCAGAGACAGATCTGAGTACATCCCACTGCTAACAAACTGGCAAACATGAGCACTTCTTTGCAAAGAGGTAATCATTTACACATGTATTTATTTCATGGTTTAAATCACTTATGAGCTGCATTATCAGCTCAATAAAGCAGTCACACACACACACACACACACACACACATTACGGTATATAATTAAATTGAATAAATATATGAAAATTCTGATTTTTCCAAACAAGCATAAAAATGTGAGGAAAAAAAAATAAAATCTGACACAAAAGTAAATTTGGCATTTTTGATGTCGAGTTAAAATATTGGCAAGAGAAGTGCAAATTTGAACTACTGGCACCAACAGAAAAAAAATCCTTATTGCAAAGACATGGCATATTTATTTGGAGGTGATAGTGGGCTGTAGTGATGTCACCCGCAGCACAGCTGACATGTTTGTATGCTGGGGAGTGAGTAGATGTCTCTCCCCCTCCTGACCTGCTCCCGCTCCTGAGCCTGTGCAGAGGGCTGGAGCGACGCGATAAAGAAGACATTTGTAGGATGCTTACCCCTGTTACGCAATCTCCCTCAGGCCTGCAAACACAATGTTTCCATCTTGTGCACCTCACTGGCTCTTTTCTCAAATGGCCAAAAGCAGCAGATGCGCTGGTGAGGGTGAGGGGGCTCTATTCTATTTCAGGACATTTTTACAATCCCATCTTATTTGATACAGTTCGACTTAGCGGAAGTCATTTTAAAAGGGTCAAAAAACATGATGATCCCTACCGTGCATTTTGTTGACATTACATATATGCTCCGGGGAAAACATACAGATTTATCTGTACGGCACAAGCTAAACAAGGCAGTCCATATTTGGAATAAGAAGGCAGAAGAGACCCAGGGGATCGAATCCAGTTATCATCCACATCTCTCTTAAAAGGTCAAACGGACTGATTAACAGGCTGAGAGCCAAGAAAACCAATGTGTTCAGAGAAGGACTGAGCGATATAGGTAAGAACAACATCTATCTCAATACTTATATCAGCTATTCGATGACATCTGATATGTATAGCTTAATATTTATGTATTTGTTCTGATTTGCGAAGCACAGCTCAGGTGCTGACAAATACAGGAATTTCCATCAAACTGATGAGCTGCTGGCACTGAATTCGCATTTGTGAATCAGCAGGGTGACAATCACAAACGGGCCATTTCTGGAGAAAGACATTTGATCAGTTAAACAGGAGGGAACACCCAGTTGCCATTAGCCAAAACAGCCATTTTCCCCCACTGTGAAACTGCAAAACAAGGATATTAAGATTACAAATGCTTCCCAAGTGACCACAAAAGCACAAATTACCTCTGAGACTGAAAACAAATATTTAGATGAAGTTAAAAGCTTCCGGGACACGGAAAGCAATGCAGATCTGCAGGATTTTAGAGAGAACAGCAGCGTTTATTTACGTACCGTCTGGCTGTCGGGGAAATCCATTTTTATCAACTTGTGGGCGCATTCTTCGAAGTCCAAGCTGTCAAAATAAAACATGAAAACGTCACTTTCTGCATCTCATGTGCTAATGAAATATAACTCATTGAGTTTAACCAGATCCCATGATGTGCACACAATTTTAATATATTACATGCAACTGCAGCACATAATAAATCAAAAGCAATATGTATTAAATACAACCCTCTACATTGCGAGTAAATCACTCGCATATGCGACTAAATCTTACTCTGGGCGACTAAATGATGTCTAATATTAGCCAATTGCTAATAAATTCTCAGATTTTACTCGCCAGTGTGTGAGTTGGAGGTTAAGTATAAGTGTAGCACAGATATATTTTCACTCACAGAACACTCTCTGACTGAGCGCTTCAGAGTTTCACTCTCTGCAAAGCGATCTGTGCTGTTTTTCAGTTAATCAGAATGGATGTGCAACGCACCTGTATTTACGTAGAGGGCTGAAATATGAACCAGACTGCATCCAAATTAAGCAAAACTATCACAGCACCAGAGGGCATCATCTGTTGAAGGTTAACAAGGTGAAGTGCATGATCAGAATAATAATATAGTCCTAATACCCAAAAGATATTACAAAATATGTCCACTCTACGGAGAAATGAGGCTTTCTATCTTAAGCAGGCTGACCCTTTTGACTGTCCAGGGATTGTATTGGCTCTTCAGTGCTTCATTTAAGGTCAGACCAAGATGCTCTCGCTTCAAAGCCTAATGGGAAACATTTTGAGCCAATGTTTAGTGTAAAGCTATTGAATCTGTAGCAGTATGGATGAAGACATTATATTATAGCTGAGCTGTGAATCTGCAGTCTAAATTGAATGCGAACGAAGACAATAAATAGAAAACATCTTTCTATTGTGTTCAGCAGGGTAATGAGAATCACACACAAATAACTCTTATGACCATTTCTGTATAATGAAACAGTCAAGATAACTAGAAAGAGGTCTCTAACAAATTAAATAAAAATAATAAATAATAAAATAAAAGGTTTGATGTATGAATCAGTCAATATGACTCAAAACATGTTTTCAAAATAATAAAATAAACAATTAATGAAATAAAATACAAAAGTGGTTATGATGTATGAATCAGTCAACCTGACTCAAGAAATAAGTTAAATGTTTGATGTATGAATCAGTCAAGATGATCAAGAAAGAGGTCTCCAAAATAAAATAGAAAATGCATGTAGGTGCTAATATGTTTAACTTAATACTGGCATTTAAATTAAATAGGGTTTGGTTAGACAAGTCTTTCTACTCTTTACCAGTGCAAAGCAAACTAAAGCAGTGGTCATTAGTCTCGCATCTCTTTCAGACATTTCTGCCAGAATTCTGCATCTATCAGATAGTTTCACAAACTGCTGACAAACACAGTCATGTAATGCCCACAGATACTAATCTCTCCTGCACACAAACCAACACAGCCTGAGAAACAAACTCAGATTAATGCTTTAGTTTACGGAGTGGAAACCTGCTTAAGTCTGACCAAACTTGAATCTCTGTTCTAAATAAAGTTCACTCTGCTCTACTTCTTTAATGTTTGAATGCTGTGCCATGACCACTTCAAAGGGCAGGGGCAGATAAAAAGAGAGGGACATGATGGCTAGACTTGACACTACAGGTCCCATGGTGCACAGTTAGCCACAAGGACAACTTCATATGACTGTCAGTCAACCCAGTCCCTATCCACATCAACACACAGCAGTACAGCACTGTATACTGTGCACCACTACATCAAACTTCACTGTCTTAACTGTCACTGTATGACTTTCTTCTGTGGAACATAAAAGATGATGTTGAGAAATGTTCAACTATTACTTAAAAACACCCCATTTACCATTTTAATAAACATTCCTGGTCATGTTTGTTCAAAAGTTTCAGGTCAGTAAGATTTTTATTCAAAAAATTTTATTAAATTGATTGAAAGTGAGAAAAAAGAAATTTGTAATGTTACATAAGAATTCTATTTTAAAACAATGCTGCTGTTTTGAACTTTCTATAAAAAAAATCCAGAAACAAAAAATAACACTGCTTCCAAAAAAAAAGTCAAAAGCACAACTGTTTTCAACATTATAATAAATATTTCTTCAGCAGCAAATCAGCATATTAGAATTATTTCTGAAGTATCATGTGACACTGAAGGCATCACAGGAATAATGGCATTTTAAAATATATTAAAATTAAAAACTGTTGTTTTAAATTACAATAATATTTCACAATATTACTATTTTTACTTCTGATCAAATAAATGGTCACTTTTTTTCAAAAACAAAAAAATCTTACTGACCCCAAATTTTTTAAACACAACGTCTTCAACATTTCCCAACTTACAGACACTGTTTTCCACTCTCTTCCCATCATTTTCTTTCTCCTCTATATAAAAAGAAAGAAAAGCCCACAATGGGAATCACAGGGTTGCACCACAAAACCAATGCTCTTGATTTCAACAGAAAAATAACTGGGGCTAATCTAATTTCCTACTGGGTCATACTTTTTCCTGTCCATACACCAACCTTGCCTCCAGGCGGGCGATTTGTGGGCCAAATCAGTTTAATCCCGGCCTCAAAGGCAGTTTGTAGAAAGGCAGAGTGAGAACCTTTGTAGTGCCTCTCTCTTTTAGCTCTGCCCTCTTTCTGCACTCAGGCCAGTTAACAGAGAGACCGCAACACCGGGCGACCCCTCGCTGAGCTGCAGTAGAGCGCTGCGAGAGACCAGGTTAGTTTTAAGAGGTGAATCCAGCTGCCAGCGGGCAAGTTTAAAGACATTAAGGAAGTCAGTTGACTACCAGCTGGTGAAATATTTAAAAGCTTGTCACACAGCAGATGAATGTATGAAGCTGTGTGTCATGTTAGACGTGTTTCGTATAGCTGTGATCTAATACAGTGTTCATGCACTTAAAGAAAAGCAGGTTAAATGAAGCTAGTACACATCCAAAGCCTGCTTCTCACTGCTCTAAGTTGTAGATACAGAATTAGCCTCTGCTGCATCTTTAACTTGCGAGTGCTCGGCAGCCCCGAGGTGCTTAGAAGTATAGTGCTTTCAAACATTCTCCGCAATAGAGGCTTTTTTAAAGCTTCAGGTCAATAGAAGTGGAAAAGGGAAGCTGTGAGGAAGCCTGTGAGTCCACATACACACACACACACACACAGTGTGGAGTGTGACTCTGTGCCTGCTAGGAATGTATGAATATTCATGCTAGATTCACAGTAGTTTTGCAGGTGATACAAAATTAAGTCACATTGTGATTATTTTAAAGCACTTTTTATTTAACCATTAAGTTTCCTTAAGGCTCATTAAGCAATTTTGCAAACGTTCCCCCGGTCTCAAGTCTCATCATTATGAGAGTGTGAAGTCAGATGTTGTAGCACCTCTGATTTAAACTTCAGTAGCAAAAATGGCACTCATATGTAAAGTTTGTACGTTCAGTTCATTTACATGAATCAGCTGAAACGGTCCATGTGAATGAACTGCACTCTCTGATTCAACATTTTTTTTGCATCATACTTAATGTACAATGTAAATTGTTCATAAGACTCTGTGTGTTAATTGTTAAACATTGTTTCTGTTAATTATTCCAATGTTTTAGTAAAAGAAAATTAATACACATTATATAAGCTATAATGCTAAATTCACTTTTACATGTTGTTTGAACATAAATGTGTGTTGGCAGTGTGTGTACACATCTACCCTATAATGATAAAAATCCACCCAGTGGTTTTTATTTAATCCCTAAAAATAATATCCCTTTTCAAATCAGGCCGTTCTCAGCTTCTTGTCTGTGTGACATCACACGGACGAAGGCCGCTCCCATGATTGTTGATTGACACTGGTGTTTTACCTTAGACCCGCCCTGAGTGAGCTGTAAACAGTCCGCCGTTGTTTCGATGCCGGAGCAGGGACGTAGACAAGAATGGCTCCTAAGCGTAGTAAGTGATTGAGGTGTTTTGTTGTTGTATGTAATAATGAACATAGCAGTCGTCATTTACTCCCAACATCTGAGCCACTGAAGACGCAGTGGATTACTTTTGTTTGTGAAGGGAATGCGCCAACAATTCCTCTCCTCTGTCTCTCCACATCACCGTAGCGCCATTTTGTAGAATATGAGCTGAACGCAAACTGCGTACGCTATACTGTGTCAGCCGCGCCACAAGGATACGTTTTCTGCGTGTATTTACGCTTTGATTTGAAAGAAAACAGCGCATCCGCGCAGTGCGGCTGACACAGAAGAGCGTACTCTGTTTGCGTTCAACGGATATTCTACAAAATGGCGCTACGGTGATGTGGCGAGACACAGAGGAGAGGAATTGTTGAATAAAGTCGTAAATTTTGTTTTCTTTGTGTACAAAAAGTATTCTCGTCGCTTCATAACGTTACGGTTGAACCACTGATGGCAGATGGACTATTCTGACGATGTTTTTCATACTTTTCTGGACCTTGACAGTGTATTTTACTTGGCAGTCTATGGGACAGTCACAAGCCTCCCGGTTTTCATTCAAAATATCTTAAATTGTGTTCCGAAGACGAACAAAGCTTTTACGGTTTTGGAACGACATGGGGGTAAGTGATTAATGACGAAATTTTCATTTTGGGGTGGAGTATCCCTTTAATTTGTGTTCTGAAGATGAACAAAGGTCTTGCGGGTGTGAAACAACATGAAGGCGAGTAATTAATGACAGAATTTTCATTTTGGGGTGAACTATCCCTTTAACTTGATGTTCTTAACTCAAACTAAAACTGGAGAAAAAAAAAAATAGGCATATTTTTAAAAAATCATTAATAAACACCATTTAAAGCGACCTAGTAGACAAAAAGGCGATAGAAAAAAAATATATGAACCCATCTGACTGAATCAAATGGGTAAAATAAATAAATAAAAATCAGTTACAGAACCTACAACTAGAATGTTGACTATCCTTAAAAACATTCAAAAGAAATTCCTAAATAACCTAAAATTAAATGTTGGAGTTTAAAAAAAAACCTCTCATGAACATATGCTCCAACAGCCCAAATATCAATATGCATTAAATATCATTAAAAAGCTGTAAAACTCCATGAGGAGGACAGCCAGGACAGCCATACTGAGAAATGGTTCTGTGATGCCGAGGGAAATAGACTCGTGCTGCCTTCCTCCTACTCTCATCAATCAGCCCAAGAATTGTTGTTTAAACATTTTTCAAACCCTCTTGATATCAAAGGATAACTAATTTTGAAGTCCTTCACCACAGCGATTTCTGATCCGTGACGGCACTTCTGCTGCACCGTGCCGGCGAAATTCAATTAAAAACAACTAATCTGAAACGTTATTAATTCAATCTGCGTGCTGTGGCCCTCAGGGGCTTCAGGAGCTTGGGTTCAAAAACAAGAAAAAACAGCCTCATCTCTACACATGGGATCTCCAAAGTAGGTTGTTTTTCAATTCCAGCCAAAATAAGCTTTTGCACAGACTATTTCTGGTGGCTTTTAGAGCTGCTCCCTTTCTGCTGATGGAAGCACGAAAGACGACATGGAACCATTGGATCACATGATGCACACACTCACCTTGACTGGATGGCGAGGTAAATCGTTCGACGGAACGCAACCAAGTTCACCTCTGTCTGGTCGAAGATGGTGACTTTCTCTTGTTCTAAATAAAGAAAAGAAAAGCTCAGTACAGTTAAACAGGACAGAGACTGGCTGAAGTTTGTGCCATATGATATGTCTCCCTCCAGAGGTCAATAGCACTTGTTCTTTGCGGAGTTATTTTAATTCACAGGCTCACAGCCTTCTTTGATGAAGCAATTAACACAGCTAAGCTCATCTGATCACAGGAACGGAACTAAAGAACAGCAGAGAGACACACACCGTCTGCACTCAATGACAGGGAGCTCTTGAACCTTCACATTATAATCAACATCCGGCAGAAGTGATAAATTCAAGAACATCTAAAAACAGTACAGTGGCCGATGATGTTTTTGGCGCTAAGGAGTCATATCATGAAAAAACCATTTTCTTTGATCTTTTGGACAAAAAACAAAAACATTTAAACTGAAATAGTACACATCTCAAAGTTATAAATGTTTAAATATTTTTATGATACTACAATTTTATAATACTTTAATACATAAAACAATAAATTAAAATAAATAACAAATGTATATATAAAAATAACTATTTATTTCAGTGTTGTTACGTTAACTAAAAATAAATCCAGAAGCATAAAAAAAATGTGTTACTTGAAATAAAAGTTGACTGAAACAAAATATAAAATAAAAAATTAATATAGCTGCCAAAATTTCTCATTTTCATTTAGTTTAAGTAATAAAATTAATAAAATTAATAAATAAAAATCAATAAATATTATATAGACAACATTAGTCAAAAATTATAAAAACAACAAAATAACTTACAAATTAAAGTGAAAAAAAAATAAAAACTGACTGACAGAGCAACAATTTGAAGTCAATCGTACTGAGCATGTCTACAGATATATAGCAGATAAACAAGACATCAGAAAGTAACCATCACCTATTTGCGTACTGAGGTTTGTTACTAGCATAGTAACGCAAATGTTCAACAGGACCACATGCTTGTGTTGGACTGCCCAAGCATCTGCATTTGCATACTTCTGCAGAGTATGTTTCTGGCTTAAAACTATATTACAACTGTTTTAAGTTCGAGAAACATTGTTACTGGACCTCAGAGGGGAAAAAAGTTATGATCCTTTTAATGCCTGAAACACAATGTGCTACAGTCTGGAACAGGTAGTCTCCTGACAGCCATAGTGTTTTATGCAGTTTCTCCTCAGCTCAAGACCCAAGAGACCATATGAGCAGGATTATCTAGGGGAACTAATGCAAAGCATTGTCCCCAAACACTGGCACTTGCTTAAGAACTCGAATAAGAACAAGGCGAACAAGGAGTATAGCGCCACCAAGCCACATCATAACACTGAATATTAATACAATTGTGCCTATTTTTTATAAGCATATGGTAGAGCATGTGACACTTGATAAATATTTTAAATACCTTCTCCAGCTGCCTCGTCTTTATCTTCATCATCATCATCATCTTCGTCATCTCCACTGCCACCAGCGTCACCACCAGAATCACTGCTTCCTTCGTCAAGAATTTCTGAGGTATGAAAACAAGACAGATCAATTCAATTTTAAAATAAAACTTTAAATTAAAAAAATGTTTAAATTACACACACACACATTTGGAAAATAAAAGAGCTTAAAGTGTGTGAAATACAATGTTCTCAGTGCCACTGCTCTCAACAAGGCAGCCCAAACGATGTAACAGGCAACTTGCTGTCTGCCCAGCGGTGTAGCGGACGGCCCCGCGATAACCTTCTCTTGCTGGGGTGCATCGGAAGACAATGATCTTGTATCAACGATAGCCAGAGATATTGTCAAAAACATCAATTATTGGCAATATTATAATATAAAGAGGATTTGGCATTTCCAATTAATGTAGGCCTGTTACATTCTTATTTTTATTAGGCGTATTATTATTATGAAGTTACTTTTATTATTAATGTAAAATTAATTACAATAATTAATGCCCCGTAATATTACCGCATATTTAACATACTGAGAGGATAACAAAAGATTAGGCTTTTTACTCAATTACCATGTTGTAAAAAAAGGTCTTTTAAAATAGGTCTAGCCTATTACACAATTAATTATAAGCCTATACTTAAAATATTAAAAATATAAAAAGCAATGAAATAAAAAGCTTTAGCCTATTTCAAGCACCGACTTTCAAAAACAACCTGTTTAACACGAAATACGTTTCTTCTATTTTTTTTTCACTATGTACGGGCCACAAGAGAAATATTAAGGGACTAAATTAAAACCGTTAGCTATATACGGTTATCAGCATATGTTGAAGTAGATTCGTCTCTCGTCGTCTCTGAGAGAATATGTGGCGTCAGATGCCGAAAGCTCCGTCATTACTCAGTCATTCTGTTTTTACTTTCAGTTTCTGCATAGTGAATTGACTGAGATTAAGACGTTCACCGGCATAACTCTTAACTCTAAAGTTTGCACGTGAGCAGAAGAGACTTCTTTTAAAACATTAGAAAATATTACAGATCCTAATTTGAAAACTGTGTGTGAATGTTATAATAAATGCATTAACAGCGCTGTTGTAATGATTATTATCATTATTATTGTCTTGTTAATTGTCACATGCCCTGTAAAAATTCATAAAAATGTGACTGAGCAACAGTTTCTGCGCAGATTTTCCTTGCGCTTTGGACTTTGAACCCTGGTTAACAATAGCACGGCGAGTTCGTGCAGCGCTGTCAGAATACATGCAATGCGCGCGTGTATTAGAAAACATAACGTTCTGCAGTTTATTTACTAATTGTTTAAAGCCCTTTCACGTGTTTAAGGCCATTTCATGATTTCAATCATCATACAGTAACCAGCAACAATCACCCCTTCCTCTTCTCATCGAAGACATGCGATGCAGTCCTAAACAGTCTCTCGATGTCGGTGCTTGCAATGATTTTTGCGTCTTTCTCGGACAGTTTTAAATGCTTCCACACTGCTGACGTGTGTGCTGCATTATAAAGAGTGCGCGCCTCTCACTCTACGCTGGCTGCTATTTGATCGCGTCATTTCATTGTTCAGTACAATTTATTCAGTCTTTTCGCTTATCTTATTTTTGCTATTTTCAGCCAAATAATTTTGGTTGCCGAACATTCGGTGCATCCCTATTTTATTTTCCATATTTTTCTTTTAATATATGTTTGTAGTGGAGAGCCTGCAAAAGTGGAGGGACAGATGAGCTACATTATCGTAAAGAACTATATAAGTCTCTATCAATTAGAATTTCACCCTACTTGGGATTCATTTGTATTTGACTTTAGGAAAAAGTGACAAGCGTAACACAAACACTCTCTCGTCTTTGCCCAGGTCTCCCGTTGGCATCTTAGGTCACAACTATGTTCTGTCACTTTCTCCACTGCTGAACGATTCCATTAGCTTTGCTTCTCAAGCCGTAAATTGAGTAATCATCTCCGCATCAGAGAACAAGCATCTCCAATTGTCGCAATCAAGGACCACCATTTCAGCTTCCTGTACCATATGGCTGTCTCCAGTCCGTTGTACAATTAGTACACAATTAAAATTCAAATGCGCTAGCAGAGATGGTGCATCAGAGGGCATCTCTTTTAATAGGCAGTAATGAGAAGAACGGAGAATGCGTACAGAAAAAGAGTCATTAACTCACCCCGTTTAATTGCTTTGTACTTCTCCTCGTTCTCCAGGAAGTTGGGATCCAACTTGAAGACATCTGCAAAAAGAATATTGTTGATGTAAAGCAGACATTCGTTTGCAATTACACGTTTCGCAGCAATTAAGTCAGTGCCAACGAGATGTAATCAGAGTCAATTACCCATAAAGAAGAATTTGCTGTGTATTAGCCGTAAAACATAAAAAGAGCTTAATGTGATAATGGCTGTTCATGCTCCCCAAAGGGCCGCTTGTATGGATTTTCAATTAGCGCACTTTGTCTCAGAAGCCTCAGAAAAGATGCTTATCCACTAACATCAGTACAGACAGTAGCTAAATATGAGAACTGAGAGAGCAAAACCCTCAATTACACACAGGCAGAGCAAGGACTGCAGCCTCTGGTTTGAGAGCATGCGTTCCCTCGTGGGTGGCTTTAGAGAGAAGGAAGTCATCCATTATGATTGTATCAAGGTCATTAGCTGCTAAACATGAGAAATTGAGGCCTGGCAGGTTAGGTGAGAGAGATACTGAATCGTACTCACTCAACACCTTCAGCAACAATGATGAAAACAGGAACAGTTTTAAACAACTAGGGGAGTACCATCCTCAGGAAAGGTTGAGAGCAGCACATCTAATTCATCCAAGTTACCTTGTGGTCCTGGAGGTCGATAAACAACCACAAAATGGATTTTAAAAGGGTGGGTAATAGTGACTGAAAGCGATTCAAAGGAGCTGTTAATACCCAGAGAAGGTAAAGGAATAAATTCCCAATCATTAGAGATAAGCAGACCAGTACCTCCACCTCGTCCAGTCAGACGGGGAGTGTAGGAAAATAAGAAATTATTGGAGAGTGTTGCAGGAGTAGCAGTGTCCTCTGGTTTGATCCACGTCTCTGTCAGGGCCATGTGGATTTCTGAAGGATCATGTGACACTGAAGCCTGGAGTGAGCTTTATTCCACTTTGCCGCCATAGGAATAGATTACATTTTGAAGTATATTGCAATAGATAAAAGCTATTTTAATTTGTAGTAACTTTTCACGGTATTTACAGGTACATCTCAAAAAATTAGAATATCATGAAAAAGGTCAATATTTTTTGTCACTCATTTCAGAAAGTGAAACCCATATATTATATAGAGTCATTACACAGAGTGAAATATTTCAAGCCTTTATTTCTTGGTTATCATACCGTCAGAATCTCATACCGGCCCATGCCTAACGGTATTACAGTTTTTACTGTATTGTTGATCAAATAAATGCAGCCTTGGTAAGCATAAGAGAATTATTTAAAATAAAAAACAAAACAAAAACACTTGAAATGTAGTGTATTGTGTAAAATAATCCATTTTGAACCACACCGAGTTGTTTTTATCAATAGCATTCAATACATAATGAGTTATACACAATATAATGTAAAAAAGTCAGTAATAGTATTTTTAGTAGTAATAGAATTACTATTTGATACTTATGTGATCTGTATTTAATAAATTATATCTATAACTGAGACTTCTCTTGCTGCATTCGGCATCCTGGATTGATTTTTCTTTTCCCTCTATACTTGTTATATTGCTTTTATGGGATGGTGCATTTTGCCAAAAGAAGGTATCTGCTTAAAGCTGAACTGAACTTGTTTCATAATTGATGAACATACACAGTTATTCAACTGAACTGAAACACTGCACTGATTGGAGCTGAATAATGACATTACTGTCTTGTTAAAGCTGCTTTACAGCAGAATTCGGATTTTCATTATTGAAGTTCGCATCACTGACTCCGTTACTTTTCTGTATAATATTGTGAAGTTACTGTCTTTATTGCGTAAAGCGCTATAGAAATAAAGGTAAAAAAACAACTAGAACATGGCCATAAAGTCAGTAAGTCAGCTGTCTGTCACCAAAACAAATTTCTCCTATATGTAAACATACCTGGCAATAAAGCTCTTTCTGATTCTGAGTAAAACACAAGAGATGTGGTCTTTACCTGCCCCTCACAATATTCTCCTGCAGAAGCTCTTGAATAATGTTGCCGATGTTGGAAACGTTTACTTTGTTGATCAGACCATTGATGGACTTCTTCAGGGCTTCCCAGCTCATCCTCTGATACTCCAAACTGTGGAATAAAAAAGTAAAGAATGGATGAAAAACCAACTACACAAATCTGTTGAAGGAGACACTTTCAGCCTGTTAACACAGCAGTGATCTTGAAACACTTGTCTTTAGCCCCAGTAATAAGACCATTTTAAAGGTCATATTTGGCACAACTGTAATAGCAGGACAAAACCTTCAACGACATCTGCTTCTCAGTCTGTACTTCAGCATGAAATAGCCTGGAAAATGCTGATGATAAGGAGTTTTGAAGTGGTGCTCAGCTCCTTAGAGAACTGCTATTTTTCCCCACCAACTAATTTCCTGCCCTTAGCCCTTGAGACTGATCTGTATTGTCTCTATCACCTAACTTCCAGTGTCTGGCCTCAAGTACAGGCCAGCGCTCCACTCCTTCTGCTATAGATATCTCACATCCCTAAGGGACACCTCTTTATTTCCTGGCTGGTGACCTCCATTCTGCTGCATGAGGAAATTTAATCGACCCCTTCATTGAATTCATGTGGATGCGTTTCCCACCATCAATAAATCACAATCTATTCTTATCACAATGTCTGAAATACTTAAAAATCAATATGATTCAAGATGGATCAACAAAGATCACCTTACTTATCTGATGATCACTCCTTATTAGAGCTGGGCAATAAATCAAAAAAATATTTTTCTATATTTAAGTTTTATGGCAGTTTTCAATAAATATTTTAGTATTTATGTATTTATATTATTTATGGCTTAAATGGCTGATCATTAAACAATAGTAATTTGAAGACAATTAGATTAGAAGAAATAAAAGTCGGATAAAGTCTGATACAAATAAAGTCAGATTTTCCAATAAATATGTAGGTATAATCTCCTACACTGTTTTCCACAAAGCCAGGAAACACCAAAATAACAAAGTCACAAACATTTTACCTATGTACACTACTGTTCAAAATATTTTATTTATATATATATATATATATATATATATTTGCATTTATTTTATTTATTTGAACAAAAATACAAGATATTACAATATTAATTTAAATACAATTTTCTATTTTAATATACTTTCTCATAATATAACAGTTGTGCTGTATTTTTGTGGAATCCATGATACATTTTTTCAGGATTCTTTAAATGAATAGAAAGTTGTTTTATTTGAAATATAATTTTTTAACTTTTGTAGCATTACAAATGTCCTTACTGTCATTTTTAATCATTTTGTGTCCTTCTGGAATAAAAGTATTAATTTATTTATAACAATAATCTTACTGGTACCAAACATTTGAACAATAGTGTATAATTTATTTTTACAAAAAATATTTTATGATAAATTCTACACCTAGATTCTGCACCTTCTGCAGACCTCTGGCTGCCAATTCAAAAGAATATTTTGCAAAAAAATCACTGCATTTCTCTTTAGTGTTTTGAATTCATTCATTGCAATGGACGGTTTGAACTGAATCAAATTTACCAACTCTAGTGGCATTTATATTACTGAAATTCATATTAGAGATGTTTTATTTACATCACCATTAAAATAATCACAAAAATATTGTCAATATTCAATATATTGCCCTACTTCTTATTAATTCCCTTTTTTTCTTGTATCCTCCAAACCCAATGATGGATTTCCAAAGTGCAATATCATAAATACATAGCCTAAGGTAAATAAACTTTATATCAAACAACAACAGTACACCATTAACCCTATAAAAAAAATACATAAATACAAAATGTAGTACTGCTGAGCAAAGTGAAACCAACCTGCTCTTATCAGTGATCTGAGCCTGCATCATTCGCAGTTTGGCCGGTGGGATGTAGGCCCCACCGGTGCGGGTCAGGATGGGGTCCAGCCCTTCTTTCCTCTTCTTCACTGGAGGCTCCTCAGTGGGAGGTTTATCATTTTTGGCTGGGGATGCTGACCTTCCCCTCCTCCTGTGTTCCCAATCCCTCTCTCTGCTGGAGCGCCGCTCATAACGATCCCGGTCGTCATAGCGGTCTCGATCTCGCTCACGCTCCCTGGACCTGATGTGAGGACGACGGAGAACAAAGAAAACATTCGAACTGAAAGGTGCAATATATTACATCAGGACGAAAAAGGCCACAGCATATTTGTCGAGAACATAAACACACATTCCCTCACCTACGACCCCTTCCGTAACGTTCTTGAGGAGAACGAGATCTAGAGCGGGATCTGGAGCGGGATCTTGACTGTGACTTCTTTTCGTCCCTAAAATGGAGACAAAAGACACCAGTTTACAGAAAGTTCTGAATTTTACATTGATTTTTTAATTTTTTATTGAGACTAATAACAGACTTACCTGTCAGGTGAGGAGCTTCTTCGTCTGTTCTTGCTCTCATCGTCAGAGGCACGCTGAAACAAACACAATTACATAAGCATAGTAGTTGCACCAATTATTCAAGCTCTACTTATAGGTTATATGACTTTAATAGTGCTTTCTCTATACATGGCAACAGTAATAGTAAACTGTAATGGCATATCTGATTCACACACTAATATTTTACTGGATGGCAGTGTTTAAGGTTTATATAAACTAGGAATTTTAAATTGATGGTCAATACATTATTATTACATTAAACTTAATTAAACTGATTGAGTACTTGGTATTTAAATTTAAACAAGTAAATAACTTCATTAAATAGATTTTTAATAGATGCAGCTATGTTTCGTACCAATTTGTTTAATTTACTGTTAATTACTCTTAATGTGTAATATGTATTATAATGTACATAAAAATACAAATTAAACAAGTATACACAAAAAGCCATTTAATTCCATCCTTTCTTCATCTAAACTTCACATTGTAAAATGTAAAAAATGTAAAATGTATTTTTTTTTTAACATTAATTGTGACTTTGAATTTAAGTAATAATTTAAATGCAACACACTAGCTCCAGATGAATATACAGTAGTGTTATTTTAGTATTCTTATAGTATTTAGCCTATATTTTGAATGAGTTTTTATTTTTATAGTTATTATTCTAATTTTAACGTCTTTAGTTTTTTAATTTTAACGATTTCGTTTTAGTAATTTTAGTCCTACAATTCAAACATACTTCAGTTAGTTGCCAAGGGAGTTTTTTAATGTAAGCTTCTTATCTAATATTTATGTTTTATTTAGCTTTATCTAAAGAAAAAACAACTAGTTTTTAGTTTTTGTTTTAGTTAATAATAACAACCCTGTTGTACAGGCAGTGTTTTTGGAAGCCACTCACATTGTTACATTTATGCTAATATCGATTAATTGCTTAACCAATTAAATTATAAATTATCAATCACTGTTTAATTATAAATACCCCTAAAATAACCAGCACATCCCGAATCTACAATCGGAACTATCCCCCCTTTAACATTATAAAAATGCTGTATGAATGTAACTCACCTTGATATGTGTGACACTGCTCTTCATCCTGTGCATAACACCGTCATCACTGTCGTCTTCACTGCTGTCACTGTCTGAGCCGCTGGACCCTTGATTGTGCCGGGCCCTGGACGATGCGCTCACCACAGGGCTGCCCGCTCGTGGACTCCCATTTCTGGAGCCAGCGTCCTCAGGTTGAGCTGAACCCTCAGGTCTACCTGCTTCAGGGTTACGCTGGCCATCTGAATAAAACATTAAGACTTGGTTTTCAGACAGTTGCCATCATTCAAAAACATAGTGATGAACGAACAAAGATGATGTTGACAGAAAACGAGACTACCTTCTCTTAAAAGCACGATAAAGAACACAATTCTTGAATACAAACACTGGACTGTCAGTACTAGCAGTCAACCAAATTTTATTTATTTTTTCAAAAGCATACGGAGTATTTCAAGTATTCAGTTACAGTTGCATGGTACACATGCAATCATACCACCCAGGCTTGGAGTTAAATCCTGATTTACATTTCTATTTAAGTTAAATCGCTTCTGGGAGAATGATTCAGTGCATGATTCTTGCAAACCTGAAGTGACATTCACTACAACAGAAGCCAAAGCTCAATAACTGAGTGTTGAATCAATGCCGGGGAGCATAAAAGCCCATGAAATAATCATAAAGAGCAGATCATTCTGCCAAGCTTGCGACTGGGCCTGCGACTCAACACCTGCTGTTTTCCTGTGGATCCTTTTGTCACTTCAAACACAGTCACCAAATAAAGAGAACAAAAACACTAAAGCCTTTATCAATGCAGTTTTCACTCTTTCTTTGAAGGCATTTACGATAATGACTTATCACAACACGCACACAACAGCGCAGCGCTTTAAAAATGCATGAAAGGATGATTCTTGTTAAATGATCTTGAAATATATAATGGCTGCAGTCGCAATGTGAAGTGACTCCAAGACAAGCTGGTCTCATTTCTCTGTGGCAGCTCACTCTTAATGTCGAGCTTCAACAGTGATCCTGACATTTTAGAAAGACTTCGAGGAACGAACACAGCCAGGGCTTAAAATGAACACTTGCCACACACCAAACGAGACTAAAAAATTGGCTTTGGCAAGCAACTTAAACCAGTCGGCACTCTCTGCAGGTATCTCGACATGGTATGCAAGTAAAAATATAAGAATGAAGGTAAGTGATGTGCATGAATCAAATCAAAGACTAAAAACCTAAATCTCTCTTATAATGATTAAATATTTTAAAGTCTAGAGATTTTTTTTCTCTGCCTCATGGTGCCACATACGTGGAATATTCCTTGAAAAAAAATTCAATAAAAACAAAATATAATCATCATTATAATTATTAATATAATGTTACATTATAATGCTACAACTGTGTATAAATATGGATGGAAACAAAACATTTAAATTAGAATACCATAGAAACAAATACATTAATGAAATAATAAAATAAATAAATAAATAAAGTAAAGTAAAGAAAAAAAAACATTTAAAACTTTATGGTAGGGCTGGACAATAATTCAATATCAATATGTACCGCGATATAATTTTTTTCAATAACGGTGATATGATTTTTAAACACATTTCCGTTCGATATACATACATTACCAGTTTCCCATACATTGATTTATTTGTGCCGTTTGACTTCGTTGAATAAACATGAGCACTGCACGTTTCAAAATCAAAACACGTCGTGGGTGTTTTATATGAATGTATCTCTGAAGGGAATTGACTGTCTTCAGAAAAGTTTCGATGGCATTTTCATTTGATCTGATAAAGAAGCGTTCATGAGCGGAGCTGCTTTGATTACAGCCATTACTGGAGAAACCGCTAGTTCTATCACTCTAAAAGCGCCTCCTGCTAGCAGAGCATGAGTTTTCATTTTAAATAAGCCCATCTCCAGCAACTATTTCAGATAAATAGTGTTCATATCGATATCGGAATTATATCGTATCGACCGAAATTAAGAAATATATCGTGATATCAATTTTGGCCATATCGTCCAGCCCTACTTTATGGTCAGACATATTTTAAGTAATTGAAAGAAGCCTCTTATGTTCACCAAGACTGCATTTATTTGATCAATTATACAGCAAAAACAGTGATATTGTGAAATACTAGGGCTGGGCGATATAGCTAAAAAATGTATCAACGATATAATGTTTCATATCGTTCAGTATCG